TAAATAAAATATTTTTAATACTATAATAGTAATTAAATCTATCCCCTACACATTATTTGAGAATTAGAATTAGTAAAAATTGCTGATGTGTCTCACTCACAATCAAAGTTAGTGTATTGTATTGATGACATGTAAATGTGACATGTCAAATTTCCTAAAATAAACGAAATATTTTGATTGGCTGAATTAAAATTAAAAAAACTTGAAATTAAACATAACTACACTAGATTATAAATAATTTTAAAGTAACAAAAAAAGATAATTATTATGATTATTTTTTTACATATATTCATAATTAGATAAAGTATTAGTACAAAAATTTTACAATACATATACATATTTATATATTATAATTTCATATTAAAAGAAAAAATATATAATATTAGATTATCTAATAAGATAGTAAATATTATATATATTAATAATGTTTAAAGTATGATAAATTCTTATTTTGGAAAGTTATTAATTTATGAAAATTTATAATAATAACATCTAAAAAGGTTTAAATTAGATATATTATTAAATAGTAGAATTTAAAATAAAATAGAATCATGATACAATTATTAACGAATAAAAAGATTTTAAAATAATAAAATAATAATTAACTTTTATTGAACGTTTAAAAAGTAACATAACTTAAAATAATTTGTTTGTTCGAACCATTACTTATTATGGCAAATGAATAAAGTATATACTAATTATTACTATTTTATAGTATTAATATGACCATATATTTGTATATAATTTTAACACTTTTTATACTGCTGTTTTTAAAAATTTACATAGTTTTGTTATCATCTCATCTTCTCTCTTATCATATTTTACATGAAAAGAAAAGTTTATATCATATTCATATGTATATACGCATTTTCATTGTATATCGAGAATTTAAGATCATAAATAAAATAAAAATAATCGAATAAAATAATAAATGATAATAAGATGAAACAAATATAAATAAGAAGTAAAAACAAACATAAATCTTTACAGTTTTAGTTTTTCGTAAAAATATTGCAGTTTGTTTGACAAAGTTATTTAAAAAATCTTTAAAAAACGCGTTATTTTTAATGAACACATGTGTATACCAAATTTTATAATACACACTTGCTTTTATAAAAATATGATTTCACAAATTTTATAACAAATTCTTATTATAATTTTTATTGAAAAGGAAAATTACTAATGGATTATCTAATGTACTATATTTATCTTCATGGTAAAGTAAAATCTTATATTTTAATTTTTTTAGAGTTTTTTGTAATTTTTTAATATTTAATTTAATTTTTAATTTGAAATTATATATCACAAAACGTAGAAAAATAATTTACCAAAAACAAAAATCGCTGAAAAATAATAAATTTTGATTTGATACTAAACGATAGAAATGATTTTCGTGATTGTTGATAAAAGCCGAAAATTGTATTGTGTAAAAACATAATGTTTGCAGAAAATATAAGAAAAACTAACCAACACCTAAATATTACAATTTACTTATTTTTAGCTCATACTTACATGCATATATATACATATTTATTTCTTTTATAAAATTCAATCATAACATATTATATATATATGTATATATATTACAAAACATATACATTGCTAATTTCTTTTAACACATGAAAGCCATACTTGTTTTTTCTATAAATATGCATATGAATATAAATATTAATTATACAAAAGTCAAAGTCTCATACGAACTTGTCGTCCATGAAATTTGTTAACCTCGATTCCAGTGCAACCATCTACCCGCTTTTAGGATAAGTAAAAATGGTAAAATCCAATTTGGTTTAATTAATAATAAATAAAAAAATATATATATATTATGTACGAATAGAGTATCATCAATATACAATATTAATTATATATTAAATATATAAATTATTTTATAGTTCGTACATTGTGCGGACTGATCACCTAGTTAAATATTAAATACGAACGAGGCAACGAGCCTTAGCTTGTCGTATATAGGTTAAATGTAAGTATACTGTGCCTGTGTGTTTCACAAAAAAACAATACTCGTGGTGAATGTAATAGTATTATATCATATAGGCCTATTTTGTGCTGTTATAGAGAAAATATATGTATGTATTTTGTTCGCGTTCTGCACATGTACTTATACGGGTGATTACAAACACAGACATATGATTGGTTGGGTCTCCCATTTATATATAAATTTGTACGATCAAAACAAAACAAAAACAAAAATAAGTCTGAGAAATAATAGTAGTATAGATAGATGATCTGGAAATCGTGTTACAAAAATATTTAGCTGAATTATGGATGCATGCAAGAGTATTATTTAGGACGGAAGAATCTTAGATGTTTCATGATAGAAATTTTTATTTATTTTCGAGTTTTGTTGCTGCTTTTGCATTTAATAGTCACATGTTTCTCTGTTGTATTCCATTATTTTGCATCATATTCTATATTTTTATCATTACTTCCCCCCAAGATTATATTTCTTCTTTTTTGTTTAAAGCTTAAGTGTATTAATATATGCCCTAAAAATTACTGATTTATTATGGACTTCAGTACTTTACTACGTGACATTGTATATGAAATTTCGAGAAGAATAAATTAAAAGAAAAGTTACAAGGTAAGAGAAAGAAATATATACTAGTATTAAATATACGTTGATGATCATGTACGGACAGAACAATGCGGCGTTTGTGATCAAAGTGAAAACGGCGGGGCGTGCAAAGTAAGAAAGGACACATGACACGACGTGCATGTGCCACCAATATCTGCGGCTTTTGTTACTTCCCAGCGAAGTCTCTCCCCGAATTTTTTTTTTTTTTTTTTTTTGTTAAAGGGCTTTCTCTCCCCGAATTGATTCAGATCTAAATCAATGCTCTGTAATATGTACTGTGCCATTTCAGATTCAAACACATGACTTGTCTAATGTAATCTTTTACTTTCTCTCTATTCTTTTTTTTCTTTCCAATTATATTAAATCATCTCAGCTTGAAGTATTAATTATATTGAGGCTGGTTATAGTAACACCAACAACTATAAGTCGTACAAAGTTATGATTCATTGGTTACGCAAAGCTTTTGTTCCGATCCCATTCTCAAATTCTTTTAATTTTCTGTATGGAAATATATTTTCAGTAGAATAAGACTTGGAACATGGAAGAAATATTGGAACTTTGAAATGTTGTTTAGTCTGAGATATACAAAGTTATAAAACTGATCAGAGATATGAAATTTTTAAAAGGAAATTCATAAAATATTTAATAATAATATACTTTTATTAAAAAAAAACACTTTAAAGTCTTTGAAGTATTTATATATCTATTGTCTTTTATGCTTGTCAAACATGATCATTAAGTTCGAATGATATCAATGAATTGGTAGACTAATCCGCTTACAGACTAGATTGTTTTATTTTTGGACAGACAACAATACATTCTGAAACAAGATTTTTTCCATCATTATATCTTATTAGCACTTGCGAATTATGAACAAACGGAAAATTTTAAGAAAGAAAAAGCATTTTCTCCTCAAACAAATTAGTTTATGATATCCAATGTCACTGTTCAAGAATTATGATAGTCGAAATAATGATCATTTTCTATTTATATTTTGGTCACTACATTATTATTTGTATCTTGTTTAAGGTTTCATTGGCGACTTCACGGTTACGCACTATTTGTAATCGGCCGTTTTTATCGATGATACTAAAAAACTTGAATCTGAGTTTCATTTTATCACCTATTAAACTGGATTATCATTGTAGAAAAGAAAAAGAAGAATTGGCCTACGAGTAGACTCTAGAGCACTAGGCAAATCCAATTCATTCTCAACAAATGACCTAACGACCTATCATGTGGTACAGCTAAGTCGAAAATCTTTTTTTGTCTATCTTTATAATAATATACAACTCCATATCATGCCATGAAATAATCTTGTATAAAATAACTATATAACTGTATCTTCTCTTCCATCCACATTTGATTATTGAACACCCACGAAGCATCACAATTATTTGTGTTATTATATATGACAACATAATAAATAATTACACGATATATAGACTAAGAATATACGACCATAAAACGGAGTCTCATGGGTTTTTTCATTAGTGCACTTGTTGTATACCATTTGAACTCAAATCGACATATATAATACATATTGCTTTTGAATATGTATTATTTGGCTCAATTATATATACTCTGGAATAGATGATTAAATTTAATAATCGTGTATTTTGATTACCATTCGGATATTTATATCGTTTAAAAGTTTATATTAGTTGTCCAGATATATTGAGAGATTACTGTTCGAAAAATCTCTCAATTTAAAAGATTACAACTTTAAACTATCACTTTAATGGATTATATTAGTTTGACAGAACAAAATGGTTCATATTGTTTCAACAAAAAATTTATAAATATAGTGATCTTTGTTAGTATGTTTATCATAACTTGGATTTAAATTGGAAATATATATGTCTGTGACTTGCAGGTATCAAAATAATATCGTTCACATCAACCACAATAAGTAATTAACCACATTTGGGATTAGTTAGTTATTTTACACTAATTATCACACAAAATCATTTTTGTTAAGAAGTTTGTACCTGTCTGTTTATATTTAAGTTTATACCGTCCCTTAAACAAATTTGAATTCGGACATTAACTTCTAATTTTCTGTTAACTGTAATGAAATTCCTCCTCAATCATGTTATAAATTAACGAAATCTCTGTATCCTAATCTCTTCACGCGTCGCACGCGCTTTTTCTTAATATACTAATATTCATATTTTTTCTCTTTTGTCTTCGGACAAACCAAAAAAAAAACTCGTGGATCTAATTTTCCTCCTTCCATTTATATCCTCTTGCTCTCTAGATTCCTTTCCCCTTTCTCTCTCCCTCCACAAACCTCTCTCCATGCGTTATCTTCTCTCAAAGATCTGATTTTTATTTTTTTTCTCTCATCTCTCAAACCCTACGATTCCCTTTTCTCATCGGAAAATCTCTCCCAATTCGCCACTCTATGGCCATAATTCTCCGTTCAGATCCGCTCTCTCGGATCCATCCACAGCCCCAAACCCTAGAAATCGACCACTTCGATCACCTCCCCGATTCCATCCTCCTCCTTGTTTTCAACAAGATCGGCGATGTTAAGGCCCTTGGTCGATGCTGCGTTGTTTCCAAGAGGTTCCATTCACTAGTTCCCCAGGTCGAAAATGTCGTCGTTCGCGTTGATTGCGTTATCTCCGACGACGAATCTTCCTCTCTCTCTTCTGATAAGCCTCGATCCGTCGCCGCCGGTCCTTTCTCCGCCATCTTCCGCCTCGTTTTCGGGGGCATTTTCAAGCCGTTACAAGCCTTGGGTCAGTTCCTCGGCACGAAGCGTTCTTCTGGGTCTTCTACATCATCTTCGTCCTCTTCCTTGTCTATTAGTGGAGGAGAAGACGGAGAGATCGAACAAGGCGGCGTAACTCACCATTCCCCAACCCAGGTTCTGAAAAACTTCGAAGAGATTCGGTTCCTCCGCATCGAGCTCCCCAGCGGCGAATTGGGGATCGACGACGGAGTTTTACTGAAGTGGAGAGCGGAATTCGGATCCACCCTCGAGAATTGCGTGATTCTCGGAGCTTCCTCCGTGATCCAGGCGAACCCTGCGAGGAATTCGAATTCGCAGCCTCAGGATACTCCCGTTGACCTCACCACCAGCAACAACGCCGTGGTGGAAGACAACGGGAGCATACCGGAATCGTTCTACACAAACGGAGGGCTTAAGCTTCGTGTTGTATGGACGATTAGCTCCTTGATCGCTGCATCCGCGAGACACTACTTGCTTCAGCCGATCATCGCAGAGCACAAGACCCTTGACAGTTTAGTGCTCACGGATACAGATGGTCAGGGAGTGCTTTGTATGAACAGAGACCAGCTAGAAGAATTGAGGGTGAAGCCATTGTCAGCTTCTTCGGCTTCCAAGAGGACCCTTGTACCGGCTCTGAACATGAGGCTATGGTATGCTCCTACCTTGGAGTTGCCAGACGGAACAGTGTTGAAAGGAGCGACATTGGTGGCTATAAGACCCAGCGAGTCGAAGAAAGAGGTGTGTGATGTCTCGTGGGTGTCTTCTGCGTTCGATGAGCCTTACGGGATAGCTGCAAAGATGCTGGTCAAGAGAAGGACCTACTGTCTTGAAATGAATTCGTTCTAAGCTGCAAGATTTGGAGTCTGATCTGAGGTATATGAATTGCGCACTAAAATGCTCTGTTTCTGAACTAACTTTGAGTATCATTTGTGTGACTGAAGAACTTGTGTTGGCCCTGAATTTTGGTTTAACTAATGTGGGTGTTGTAGTTGATGATTAGACTCCGTCGAAACATGAAACCTTTAACATGACATTACATCATTTCATTGTCTGTTTTTATGGTAAGGCACAAAATCTCATTCGTTGCTCTTCCTTGTTTGAATTGATAGGTGAATCCTGAAGGCTAACCAAGTTTTGAAAGAGAGACTTCAAATGCATAAGATCAGTTTTGTCTTTACGTGTGAGGACTAATCTCAGATTCACCATTGGGGCTATATAGACGTAATCACTCAATGCTAAAGAACTCTGATCTCCTCAGCTTCGAATCCAGCTGCTCGGTCACCAGAAACCTCATTCGCTGGCTGGTTTTTTTTTTTTTCAGCTCGCATAGCAATCGTGTAAGAGCAAGTTTCTCTATCTTATCAAATCTTCCTCTTTGCCCTTTTTCTTTCATTATTATGTGAATATTATTGTAGGTATGAGATACAGCTGCTTCTCCCTTGTCTTTATATATACTTTCCCAGGTTATTTTAATAAAATAAAATAAAATTGAACGTTGTATCATGCAAGGTAATTTTGTTAAGAGTTCTTACTTGACGAAGTATACAGAAACTTTAAAAAAAATAACAAATACTCTTAAGTCATACTTTGACCTTTCAATTAGCTGGAGAATTATTCCGTTTTCCACATTCTTTTTCTAATTGCTCTTAGTTCTTATAAAAAAAAATTGTACTTTTTTGGCATATTTTTTTGTATTTGAAGTTTTTCGTTTATTCCCAAAGGCAAAGAGTGGTTCAAAAGACTCAGGACCAGTACCACACCACCATTGGTTTCGGGTCCGGTCCTAAAGTTAAACTTATATGATATGTTTTCTAAAACGAGAGACCAAGTTCAGTCATTCATAATAGGCTTTAAATATTGACTTGAAGACAATTACTTTAATTTCATTAACCTGATCTAACATGTTATTTACATATCGAATTTAAACTCAAATTTTTAGTTGATCGGTTAATTTAAAACCCAAATGAAATGCAACTTGGTCTAACTAAAACTAACGACCCTTGTTATAATATTTATCGCCCATGTGTGTGTCTGTGTCAGTGTGTGCGCAGTGCACCTAAAAAGTTATGTTTTATCATAACTTGTATAGCAATATGTGCCTAAACGTTTAAAAGCTAATTTTCATATAGCCAACTTGAGCCAATACCATAATATTTGGGAACGTTGTTCTTGTCCCGCTTCACATTGGTCACATATACAGTATGCATACAATTACCATATAATATGAAGTAGATATGTATGTTTGGTCTGTTTGAAAGATAATATGGACGATGGATATTGGATACTTCTACAAGAAAGAGCCCACTTGTTAACTTTCAGGCAGGCAAAAAGTTGTCAATGGGATAAAATTATTGTACCCTTTAATGGAAGCCAACTTTTGACAACAAAATCATAATTACTTATGGAATTTTAAGTGGACATTAAGTAATAATAATGCAGTATGTATGTCACAGTAGTGTTTCTTTAGCTTACATATAGTATATTTTTTGTAATAATACCTGATACTACTATTTATCAAATACGTCCACAAACAACAGTTTTTACGGGACAAAAATAAAATTTACAAATTTCATATCCTTCCGTTTATTTATTCGAGTTTAATCTTTGTAATACGGAAGAAATAGTTTTACTTTGCATTAGAACATACTAGATTTTTATCTGCGCGTTGCGCGGACTTATTTATTTATTTAATTAAATTTTATAATTTTATATTATTATATATATTTATTAAATTAATATTATTGTGTATTAGATTTTTCTTTAATTTTTTAAATATTTTTTTGTTCTAATATATATATTTATATTGTAAAATTATTTTTCTAAAATAGATTGTGATATATTAATTATTAAAAAATATATTTCATATATTTATATACTGCAATAAATATTATATGTGTTTTTATTGTTTATTTGTATTCAATTGATTTATCATCTTTTTCTACATCTTATTTTCATAGATCAACAAAATGAAATCATCATCGATCCGTCTCCACTCTAAACTAAATATTTTCTTAATTTTTTATCATTTTTTTTAAAAAAATCTAACTCATTTTTATGCACAATTAATCTTTTATTTTTTTTTCTTTTTTATAGCTTTTACTCTCACTATTCTGATTGCAATCTACTTGTTTTTTTTAATCTTATTTCATACAAGTTTCCATCTCATTCAGTTCTGTGATCAGTCATAACTCTAAATAAGGAGACTTTTACTTAGAGTTGGCTAGATAGAGTAAGAGATCTATTCAAGTATTACATATGTTTGATGGGTTGTTATATTAAAAAATTATGCTTACTTACTAAAATGGTTGATTTTAATTGATTTGAGGCGTTTTCTTTTTTTAATGATGAACTGTCTGACTATATTTATGAATGTGTGTGAGAATATTTATGTCTATTTTCAAATCTTGTGAATGTAAACAATATGAATATGTTAAAAAGTATAATCAATAATCATATTTTAGTTTATTTATATATTTATATTAAAACTCATATATTATCTGGTTGATAAGTAAAGTAATCGAATATCAATTTTATATTACCATCATTGAGAAAAAAATGATTGATAAGTATTTGCTATTTTTATCCTCCTTTGTATAAATCAAATTCATTTCTATGCTATATAATTAAATACTTTATTTTTCTTTATTTATGAAAAACTTTCATTCATTTTACACAATAAAGTGGATATGAATGATTTTACTTTAGTTTTACGCATTAATATTTCTGAACTTTTTTAAATAAGTTTGATAAGTATTATGAGCAAGTTTTTCTGTCATCTTTCGTAATTGTTCACATTCCATTTTTTTTTAAATTCTGTTTGTTTATATTCAAAATAACATTTTGAATTTTTTCTTTCAAAGAGAATTTGTAGTTTTTATAGTTTGTAAAATAAATATTTGTTTCATATGAATGATTTTACTTTAGTTATATATATAAATTTTCCTAAAGTTTTTATATAAAGTTTGATAATTATTTTCTGTTTGTATGTGGTTGCTTTCCAAACTCAATTTCACAAATGAAGAATTTGTAATTTTTATGATTTCCAAAATAAGAATTTATTTTTAATTTCAAATTAATCACATTAAAAGCCCAAAAATAAGTACTCAAAATATAAAAAACTTAAAAACAAAGCCCCAAATATTTAAAAGCCCATTTTAAAATTAAAATTATGCTCATGTGGACACTTTAGATGGAGAGAACACTCTCTAATTATATATAATAGGTATATAACTCGCACTACGCGCGAGTCTTTATTAATATTTTAGTTTATTTTTTAACTACTATCTTCAAAATAATTAAAAATTATATATATTTATAGAATTTTTCATTTATATAAGAGAATTTAATATATAATGTGTAATTTATCCTATTTTTATTTATAAATTTTAAAAAACTATTGGGTAAAATAATAACAATGACCCTATCGAATTATCCAACTTTGACGTACATATACATTTGATTTAGAAAAATATAATCTTGTTAAAATTTTGGTATTATTTTCTGTTTTCCATAGAATTTATATAGTTCTTTTTTCTTGAAGGTTTACGTGTTCAAATATTTAGTATTTTATTGAAAGTCTTATTGATGTTTTGTACCACTATATATATAATCCATGATTCATGTTGATTCACATTTAATTTTGTTAGGAAGCTGTAATGATCATGCAAAACTATATTTTCCTTCTCCATCATGTCTTCCAAGAGTTTTATGTTATATTTTTATTCAGTTTTCATTGTTTTAATTGTTAAATCGAGTTGTTGTTGATTTTTTAAAATTGATAATTGATAATGGTTATTTTTTTTATACATGTAATGTTAATTGTTATTTTTTTATTTAACTTTTGAATTTTTAAACCATATTAACATTTTTTGATTTAATAAATATATTGATTTGGACCAATCATATTAAATTTACTTTTCTTGTTGGACATAATTTGTTTAATTAACTTTTAATGTTTTAATTACTTAAAAAAATTTGGTTTGATTTAAAAACTGATGTTGACCAATTAAATCAAGTTTTTCCGTCATAATCATACTTAACATTTTTTTGTTTAATGAATATACTGATGTGGACCAATCTGATCGAATTTTTTAATTCCATGTGAATGCCCTCAATGCATTATGCCTTCAACTTTTATATATTATATGATGATTCGGGTTCAAGTTTCACTTAGTAGTATAATTAACTAACGCATTGAAAAGTCTTATAAATAATAAAGTCAAAGAAGACATGAACGTATAATTACTAAAAAATAATTGATGATAAAACAAATTTCATACTGTTAATTAGTAGCTAAAGGTTACTGTTATTTTATACAAATTATTGATTTCTATTTTTTTATAACTCAGGGAAAAAGAGACTCAAACTAATTCGTGTGGGAAGTACAACCTATGGATAGACCCTCTCTCTGAATATTCAAATGGGCTGAAAGCAAATGTCCATGTCCGTGTGGCAAAATTATTGATCCTTTTGTAAGTGAATTGTCCCTTCAACGTAATCAAATTACCCGGTGACGATTGACGAATAAAGTCATATGATTATCAGCTCATTAATTTTATGTTCACTAAAAGCAGATTAAGAACATGTTTCTCTAACCAAACTTAATCTTGTCGTCTCCGCTTTATGGTGCATGTTGTGATTTAGGCATAGCTTAAGCTTAGCGTTAGGCATTGCTTAACTCTCAAACAAAACACCCAATTATAGTTGCAAAGGATTCATCTCATTTTCCTTGCTTTAACTTAAATAAACTTAGCGTCATCTAAGTTGTAAGAAAACAAAGATAAACATTATCTTCTTAACCAGTTTTTATTATTATTGATGGATAAATTTGATTGACGTAAACAATA